CCAATCAGGTTACTACTTTTTATTACATGAGATAAACGCACGCCTACTATATGATTTCCCATACTACCTGAAATAAAAGGTTAGGAAGAAAACTCTCATCCTTTTTTTATTTCTCTACTTCGGAAACATATTTCTTATTCCTCTTCCGATTTTTTTCTCATCAAAATCTGGTTTCCGCCTCAATGGATGCACAGGACGATTACCTCCCTTTAGTTAAAACGAAGTCACGTGACGGCCCGTAAATTACTTCAGTTCATGAAGTAAAAAAAAACAAAAAAACAGTTGCTATTTAGCACGCCTATAGGTAAGACGTGCCTACCGAAGCCAGTTGAAATCTAGAAAGAAGAGAAGCAAGACATGACTGCTCACGACAGTGAAAAGAGCAGAGCAACTCACATGGTTTCAACAGGTACTTATAACTGGCCATCGGCTTGCTCGTTTTCCATTTGGAAAATATTACAAGACCCTCTCGCTTTTTACCCCTTTCACACTGCTTGTTGTATTCATATGTTATAGTTTCTCTATGTGGGCGAATTATTGACAAGAATGGATATATCGGTATAAAAGTATATATTTGAGAAAAATGCATGTTTGTCATTCGTTTTCCTTTAGCCGGTCTGTTTCTTCCATTGATTAAAGCTGTTAGGGTATAACGGATATACTAATCCCTATATTGAGGAAATGAACTGACACTATTTTATATCTCCTAATACCTCCATTACTCTGTTTTTACCATTTACATTTAGCAGCTTTAAAATAAACTTTAACGGTTAAAATAACTTCAAGCGAAGAAATATTCTTACCTTTTACCAGGTTATAAAGTCTGAGGCCACAAAATGACAAATGAATATCGTTACCAGATAAAAAAAAAACCCACATCACTTGAAGAATTCTGACAGCAACAATAACAGAAAAGTTTACCTCATGTAACTGAAAAGAAAAATAAGGAATATATTTATCATTTAAACCCATGCAAAGCAGTAAAACCACTAAGACTCAAGCCGTTACTGAGTGTGAAAGAATAAAAAAGAAGAGGTACATTATTGGGTAGTGAGCATATTAGAAGTGTAATCAGGAAGACAGTAGATAGCGACTGACATTGCATTTAAATTTTTGAAGATCAACGTTGTCTGGAAAGAACGAAACCGGAAAAGAGTTCTACTAGCAAGAAGTACGATAGAAGAAACTATTAGCATAGAACTGACGGTTACATCTAGTCAATTCAACAGTAAATTGATGACAACTTGCTCCCAATTTAGGACTGTGCTTAAATTCATAAAGTGTAGGTACCAGAGCGAAGAGTGATATTTATTTGTAATTATTTACAAAATCTGGCACAAGGCCAAATTGGGGAATGGGGAATGGGGAAAAGGGCGGTCTTCATCTGGCTTAAATTTAAACTTAGGTAGCCACAAACACTGAGCCAAACATGCCACAATATTCCTAACACCAAAACAACGCATTCTTACTTACCTTTCCTACAACATTCACCATAATACCTCATTGTCTCTATGAAAATCCTAACTCGTCCCTATATGTACAATACCATAGCGAAGAGTTCATCCAAACAATTACCATGAAAGTATTTATAGAAAAGACACAGGGAAGCAACTTTAAGACGGTGGGAAAGAGACTGAAACCGAGATGCCAGGTCAGGACCAATTATATTACTCATTCTTCTTTGGATTTGTTCAGAATTCTCTAAATATATAGCAGAAGCATCGGGGCAGATAAAGATTTTTTTTATCATTTCAACCCATGCAAGGCAGTAAAGCCACTAAGACACAAGGGGTTACTGAGTGTGAAAGAAGAAGAAAAAAGCGAAAAATTATTCGAATAGGAAGAATAAGAATAGTAATCGATAAGAAAGCGCATAACGATTGACGTTGCATTTACATTTTTGAAGATCAAAGTTGACTGGAAAGCCTGGAATCGGAAGAGAATCCAAGAAGCGAGCCGTGCCAGAGAAGAAACGGTTAGCATAGAACTTACGGTTATATGTGGCCAATTCGACTGTGAACGGATGAGACCTTGCCGCTAAACTAGTACTGAGCTTTAAGTCTAGATATCATAGCGATGAACCCGCCGCACGGCGCGTCCTATTCATTTTACTGTGATTTCCTTTCCTGTCATTTCTGTTCGGCTGAGGGTCAATGTGTAATAAATACTCATCATTTGAGTGGCCTCAAAAATGAATGAAGTTGGCTGACATAGCTGAACAAATAGTGGGAAACAGGTATTACGGTCCCAGAAAACTATCTACTTCTTGTACAGACTCAATTAGTATACTGTCCGGCAACAGAGGCTGAGGACGGTTCATTACAACATCCTCCTTGTTATTATATATAAATAGATATGTAATTCAGAATAAGATTCACACGGTACAAGGCCTTGAGGCCACTCCAGGTAGTTTGTATGGATAGCAAGGGAAGATAACCGTTAACTCTAGGTGTTAAGTTTGTAGTGATCAGGGAAACATCCTCTTGTTTCCTGGGAACAGGCCGTTTGAGTGGAATTTCTCGCCGATGAAATACGGAGGAATGTGTGTGATTAGACCTGGCGGAACCAAGGAATATATTTCGTCCGAGCACTTCCTATGGTAGTAGCGATAGAACGGTAAGACTTGCCATCTCCCGCCTGTGTGTGTGTGTGTGTGTGTGTGTGTGTGTGTGTGTGTGTGTGTGTAAGAGAGAGAGAGAGAGAGGTTGGAAGGTGGAAATAATTCTTTTCCAACAAGGACTCAGAGATGCTTTTCAACTCTATTAACACTGGAAAATTAGAACTGGGCATCTCCCGCCTAAATATGGCAACGGTACTTCATTTTCGGCCTGATCTGACTCTTATAAAGGTAGAGGATAGTATGAAGCGTCAGGTACTTACTGGAGCGGTAAAGGTAACCGATCATTTTACCTGCATCTATGGATCGTATATAAGAGCTATACTCGCGGTCGGGTGTGAGTTTGAGGCCCAATTTTCTCTCAAGTCACAGAGTCTCCTCGAGGGGATATCCGTTCATCATGACTGTCGGTGGTACGGGCTCTGATCGGCAGTGATGGAATGTAACCAGTTTGAATTCCGAGGTACGGAATGTAACCAGCCAGGTCTTTCGCCACTGGGAAGTTAGATCGGAAGAAATATCAGCTGACAATATCTGATCGTCAAGACTTTTAGAGGTGCGTCCGTATATCGTCGTATCATCGTGATAGATGTTTACACATGATCGGAGTATATTCTTAGGTAGATCTTATATATAAATCAGAAAGAGGGTTGGTCCGAGAAATGAGAAATGGTGGGTGGGGGTGGAAAACCGTGACTCGGAGACGGTTTTGAACTCAAGACTGGAAAGTGAGGTCTAGCAAAAGTGCTCCGTTTTGGGCCTGATCTGGCTCTTGTAAAGTTAGAGGATACCATGGCGAGTCAGGTACTTAATGGAGCGGTAGAAGGAACCGATTATTTTACCTGCATCTTTAGCATCGGATATAGGAGTTGCACTCGTCGGGAGTGAGTTTGAAGCCCAATATCCTCCCAAGACACGTGGCCTCTTCGAAGAGACATCCATTCATCGTGACTGGCGGTAGTTCAGGGTCTGATCGGCGGTGATGGAATGTAACCAGTTCGGTTTTCCAGGCATTGAATGTAACCAGCCAGATCTTTCCCCACTGGGAAGTTAGTGTTAGATGGGAAGAAAGGTCAGCTGACAATATCCGATCGTCAAGATATTTAGAGGTGCGTCCGTATATCGTCGTATTATCAGTTCTATATGGCAGTGGTTCGCGGGAAGAAGCTGTTTGTGTGGAACTTACTTCATGCCAATGGAATACGGAGGGAATGATGGTCTTTGTTACTATGTATGTGGCAAGGTGGGTCCTAGCCGTGAAGGTTAGACTTTACGGAACCAGGAGACGCAGTTTGCCCGAGCACTTTCCATGGAAGTAGCGATAGAGCGGTGAGAGACTCGCCACAACCTGCCTGCGAGAGAGAGAGAGAGTTTGGAGGGTAGAAAATAATTCTCGAAGACAATTTTGAACTCTAGCAAGACTAGAAAATGAGGAATGGGCAGCCCCCGCCTAAATATGGCAGCCGTACTCCATTTTCGGCCTGATCTGGCTCTTATCAATGTAGAGAATAGTATGAAGCGTCTGGTGCTTACTAGAGCGGTACAGGGAGCCGATCAATCCATCTGCATCTATGGATCATATATGAGAGTTATACTTGAGGTCGGGTGAGAGTTTGAGGCCCAATATCCTCACAAGGCACAGAGCCCCCTAGAGGTGACATCCGTTCATCGTGACTGGCGGTAGTTTGGGGTCAGATTGGCGGTGATGGAATGCAACCAGTTTGGTTTTCCAGGCATTGAATATAAACAGCTATTTTTCCCCACTGTGAAGTTAGATCGGAACAGAAGTCAGCTGCCAATCTCTGATCGCCAAGTGTTTTCGAGGTGCGCCTGTATATCGGCGTATAATCGGCATAGATTTTTTTTTACAAATGATCGGAGTATAGAATAGCGTTGATAATTGCTAAAGGTCGAATATATTAACGTAATAATGTCATTTCTTCTATTTAAGTTTTACAATTGGGAGCATTCAATTTTAAAATGCATTATACGATCTGGAATAATTTTTGATTAATGTGTATAAAATTATTTCTTCACATTATTTACATTAAGTTCTGCCGATTAATTCTTGGCATTTCTCTTTTGTTCCCGTTCGTTAATTACTTTGAATCCAAAACAACACATGTGCGTGCAGGTCACTGAATGAATTATGCGTTGCTAATTTACAAATTAATAATTAAAAGTCATTAATTAATAATCTGTCGTTGTTATTGATTTATCGATTTATTTGAATATTTTAAGATATTGCAATTACAGCAAAACGAATTGCGAAAATTAAAAGGAAAGAGGACATAGAAAAAAAAAAGAAGAAGGACAGCCCCTGAATAATTAAGAAAACAATTGAGAGAGAGAGGGGGGAAATGTCAGGATAGGATGGGGTATTCTAAAGAAGAAGAAGAAGAAGAGGAAGAAGAAGACATATTGAGAAGGATGAGGAGTGAAGAAAAAATAGGAGCTGAAGAAGAAGAAAAAAAAGAAGACACAGTAAAGAGGATCTGAGGTGAAGACAAATACTAGGAGCTGAAGAAGAAAAAGACAATGACGAGGACGAAGTGTGAAGACAAATACTAGGAGCTGAAGAAGAAAAAGACAATGACGAGGACGAAGTGTGAAGACAAATACTAGGAGCTGAAGAAGAAAAAGACAATGACGAGGACGAAGTGTGAAGACAAATACTAGGAGCTGAAGAAGAAAAAGACAATGACGAGGACGAAGTGTGAAGACAAATACTAGGAGCTGAAGAAGAAAAAAGACAATGACGAGGACGAAGTGTGAAGACAAATACTAGAGCTGAAGAAGAAAAGACAATGACGAGGACGAAGTGTGAAGACAAATACTAGGAGCTGAAGAAGAAAAGACAATGACGAGGACGAAGTGTGAAGACAAATACTAGGAGCTGAAGAAGAAAAAGACAATGACGAGGACGAAGTGCGAAGACAAATACTAGGAGCTGAAGAAAAAAGACAATGACGAGGACGAAGTGTGAAGAAAAACTAAGAGATGAAGAAGAAAAAGACAATGACGAGGACGAAGTGTGAAGAAAAACTAAGAGATGAAGAAGAAAAAGAAAACATAGAGAAGAAGAAGAAGAAGAAGAAGAAGAAGAAGAAGAAGAAGAAGAAACATATTGAGGACAAGGAGTTAAAAAGAAGAAGACAGAGTCAAGGGTATCCTAAGTGAAAAAAAATAGGAGCAGAAAAGAAGAAGAAGAAGAAGAAGAAGAAGAAGAAGAAGAAGAAGAAGAAGAAGAAAAAAAGAAAAAGAAGAAGTAGGAGAAGAAGAAGAAAATGAGGGAAGAAGAAGAAGAAGAAGAAAAAGACATAGTGACGAGGACGAACAGTGAAGAAAAACTAGATGAAGAAGTAGTAAACATAGCGAAGAATAGGAAGATTGAAGAAAAATAGAATGGGCCGAAAGAGAAGAAGACTTAGTGAGGAGGACGTGGAATGAAGTAAAATAGAAGAAAAGGAGGAGGAGAAGAAGAAGAAGAAGAAGAAGAAGAAGAAGAGAAGGATCTGATGTGAAGAAAAATAGAAAAAGAACATCAACAACACAAAGTGAGGAGGACGAGAAAAATATAAGATGAAGAAGAAAGAAAAGACAGTGAAGACGATCTGAAGTAAAAATAATAATAAAAAAAGAGAAACAGATGATGATGTTGAAGAACTGCAGCAACAAAATGTTTTTTTTTTTTTAGGTAACAAGAAAAGGAAATGGTGTTTAGGTAAAAAAAAAGAAAAAGAAATGTCTAAATACTCGATAACGATATAGTAATCCAGACCGAAAACGTAAAAGAAATAAGGAGATTTACATATTCTTTTTAGTCTACTTGCCGTGTCTTTCCATGACATAGGAGATCATGTCTCTCACTAATTTCCTGTTCTTTGTAACTCTTAATAAATTTAGATATTTATGTTATTCCTCATAAACCTTATCCTCCATCAATTTACTAAACCCCGCTAAGTCGATTAAGCTTTCTTTTTTTCCCCATCCATTTGCTTTCAATCCGTCCTGTGAGTATCAAATTTTCCTACTTTTCTTTCCTCGTTATGTGCCACAGAAATTTCTGATGTTAAATATAAGTGGCCTTCTTGTTTCTATTTTCATTAAAACTTTATCATTGCATGTTCAGTCCATCATATTCTCAGTATCCTCCTGTAGAACTACATTTCTGTTGCTTCAAGTCAATTCTTCATTTGTGGGGAGATTATCCAGCATTCACTGCTATACAGAAGGTCTTTCTCTGAAAACATATTTATCTACCTCGCTATGAGATATGTGTGGTGTGGATGCCGTGGGTAACTGGGCAAATGTTGATTAACTATATCTAAAGGTTAATATCTATCTACATATATATATATATATATATACATATATATATATATATATATATATATATATATATATATATATATATATATATTTATACACACACACACACATATATATATATATATATATATTTTTAAATGGACTAAGTCCGCTAATTGCGCCAATTACGCTAACTACGTTAATTACGCTTCGAGCAGATATGAGGGTTCGAGAGAAATCATGGAAGGTTAGCAGTACAAAAACAGTAATTTAAACTTGCTGACCAGATGCTTCCTCTGTAGCTAACTGGTATAGCACGTCAGGCTATATGCCGGTCCCGTGTAGGATACAGGTTCGATTCCTGTTGAGGACACATATTTTCTTTGCGCTTTCTCGGACATTCAAGCCGATAAATGTTAATACTGTTTATCATAAACAGAGCATTTACATTTTCCTCGTTGCAGTCTTGGTTCTTTTGATTGCAATCTGGTCCTCTCGAAGCGGACATTTCTTTTTGCGAGGCATAACTGCTTCCGTATGCGATAGGCGACAATGAACTGCAGATGAACTCAAAATTGATCGCTGCATTTATGTATTGCTTTAATACTTAAGGTTACCTTTTAAACATTCAACAATAATTCTGCCGCCACTTAATTTAGAGACAACTTGATGTACGTAGGTCCGTAATTTACATGCAAACAGTTATTTTTATTTCATCGGTGACTTTCGCTGGATTTCGCAATTAATTTCAATTATTCCCAAATTTGTTTCCAAGTTATAAAAATTGTCTCGTACAAAAAAATTCATCGCAAGCAATTACGTAAAATATCACCGAAAATAATCGCAGAAATTGAAACTTGTGAATCCAAAATTTCTATAACCTGAATTATTGGAAGTAAGAGAGTTGCATCCCTTTAATTGAAGAAGTGTTGCATAGTGATATCAGGATTCATTATATAGAAGACGGATATGAGCTTTTGAGAGTTGTTCCACTTTAATTTATAAAATGTGACACACTGACATTGGCATTTATTATATAGAAGAAGATGGGCTAATGTGAGTTGCATCCCTTTAATTGGAAAAATGTGACAAATTGACATTGGCTTTTATTATATAGATATATACACACAAGCTGTGATCGGTCAATTTTCGCCGTTTTATATTTTTAATTTGGCACATGAGCCCTGTTTGTTTTGATTTTGACGACCTGCACCTAAAGTAGAGTCAGTTGGGCGCCTTTTGTGAGAAAAGAGCACCATCACCTACTTCACTCCGTCAGAATTTTGAAAATGGCATGCTGTACTGCTTGGCATTCACACCGGAAGCTCCAATACGATCATTTCAGAGTATTTGGGCGTCAATCTGAGGACAATGTAGAAGATTCAGAAAATGGTTGTAATTACGATGGTACGGCAGCTAGGGATGATCGTTCTGATAAGAAAAGAACTACCAAATTTTTTGGTGAGGATGTCAGACTCAACACGGAAGCCTATATCAAATATTTTCAGGGAGTAGTGCTGCCCTGGGTCAAGCGGATGGCTGCGGGAAGACCCTATTTATGACAACAGGACTCTGCACCATGCCACACAAGCAGGAAGAACCAGCTACGGCTGTTAGACAGTATCTACGACCACATCATCCTTTATATCTGGCCACCTAACCCCTCAGATTGCAACCCCTCTTGATTATTATATATGGCGTACAAATGAATGAGAGACTAACAAAACGCCTTGTAACACCAAAGATGAAAGAAGGCATGGATTAAGGTAGCTTTCACCAACTTAAACAAGAAGACCGTCCAGAAGAGTTGCAGGAGATTCTGAAGTCATCTGGAGGCTGTGGTTGAAGGCAATGGCGATTTTATTGAATAAATTTACTCTTTAGTATTTCAAGATATTTTTGTGTCATTTTGGCAAATATATAAGTTAAAATGAAATGTCAGTGTTATTTTCATTTTTGCGTAATTTAGACGGCAACTTATCCATCGCATCCTGTATATATATATATATATATATATATATATATATATATATATATATATATAATAAACAGAATTCAAACGGACAGAGATGTCAACTTAATAATCAATAAAAAAATTTTAAGAGCTTAAAAAAAGATTATTAGAAGTAAACTTATATTTTAAAATAAAATTTTATTCTTTTAATGTACTTTCTATGAATATTTTTCTAATCAACTATTTCATAGAAAATCCGAAAAATTTAAAAAAAATTTAAATCACTAACATACATCAAATTAAATTATTTGTAGACAGTCTAGAGACATTCAAATTTATATCAAACATTATAATCTTTATGAACCCCCAAAATAACACTTTCAAGGTAAAACAAAATAACAGCGTCTGTTTTTAGCTTTTTTTACAAAGAAAATTAGTGACATCCTCTCATCTCTTCTCTCTTAACTTCCTTCTCTCTTTTTCTTCTCTACCCCTTCGATTTCAATATATAACTTCCGTTAAGTTAACCGTTTAAATGTGTCCATATATAACTCACTCATGTCTTCTCTCTCTCCTTCCTCACTTCGTTAATTTGCATATGTTTAATACGGCCCGTCAAAAATGTGTAAATTTTCTTTTCATTTTTTGTTTGGAAGTAAACTCTGATGATCCGCAGTCCTTTTAAAAGGGCTGTGGTGAAATAATTTATTACATGGAACCTAAAAGTGGTCTGATTTTATTTAAATTATTTGCTCTGAATTTACATTGAGCTCTCTGGATTTTATCCTCCTTAGGTTTACCCACCCATACGGATTACCTAGTTTTTTCATAAACTAATATATATATATATATATATATATATATATATATATATATATATATATATATATATATATAGTGCTTTCTGCATTCTGCTGAGGTTTCTTCTAGATTCGATGAATTACTTAATTATAATTATCTCAAATCCTCCTAATTTCTATCACTTATATATCCTTGCTTGAACCGACTTCTAATGCTCTGGGTGAAGCGGCATAGTGATAGTCGTCGTGACTCGTGGGAGTACAGTTCTATGGGTAAAAGAGAAATTCGGATGAGTTCTGGCACGGAATATGTAATCGATCGACGCTATATCGAGACTCGTTCGCTGGTCGGTTGGGACAGCTGATATGACGTTTGCCTCATAACGTAACTGTCCCGGTTTCAATTCTCGGTAGTGGAAGCGATTTGCTGATGAGTCACAAATATAGGACTATACTGTTTATGTTTCTTCTATACTCGGTGAATTAATTCATTGTAATATGTATGTATAGAAAAAAGAGATAGGTACATCAAAACATTTGATAGAAAATAAGTATCCTTGATTAAAAAATGCGCAATACCTTAAAAGGATTCAGAGTTTGTTCCTCAATATTTTTGTCATTATAAAGAAAATGCATAAAATGAGTTTCTGATGTAAAAATTTGCTTTTAATAATCCTTTCTAGAACCTTCTAAATTTTGGTTAAAAGTCTTTTCTTATGTCAACGTTGTACTCGACTTTTAGCGTCTTTTTCAGGTACAAAATTCACTGATTTGTAAACTCTTGTAAAATTCAGATAATTCTCGGATTGTAATGAAATTTTCTTTTCTCATTCACAAGAGAATGACATTAAATTATAAATGGTACTTCTTTTTGGAAAATCTTTGAAAAAATGTATTTTTACATCTGTTAACACCCACTTATTTAATTTTATGAAATTTCGAGAAATTCTTTTTGCGTGCGCGCACGCGTGTGTCCGTGTATGTGTGCGTGTGTCCGTGTGTGTATATGTGTGCGTGTATGTGTGTGTGTACACATATGGCGTGGTCCGAAAGTCTTGTCA